GGGGGGTAGAGCTTCTGGCTGCCCACTTTGATGGGCCCAGAGATGTGGTGGCAGGGGCAGTGTCAGATTGCTTAACAGTTCTGATGAACCATTGGAGGAGGGCTACATCAAGTGAAGCTGCCTGGCAGAGATTTTGCAATAAACTAGACAATGCACAAGCAGCTACAATGACAAGGCTGTACAAGAAGACTGAGCAAAAGCAGCCCACCAAGCCCACCAAAACCTTGAGACCTCATCTCTCTGAAGTCACCCTGGACTCTGAGGGGTTTCCTGCAATGTTGGCTCACAGCTTGCCATCTTCAGGGTCTTCAGGTGAAGAAGGTGATGTGGAATCAGAAATGGACAGCTGTGAAGCAGCAGTCCAGAAAGAAGACCCACCTCCAGTCTTGAAGTGTGACTGGAAGGTGGCTGCAGGCAAGCCACCCACCAAGAGGCCTGCAACCAGCAAGCTTTTCAAGAAGCCCAGCTCTTGCAAGGCAATGGGCCCTGGTGATGCTGGCATGCCTATCCACACATCATCAGTCACCATAGGGGGTGGCAAGCAGCAGAGTTACATCCAGCATGTTCCTGGGCCTGGACCATCCAAGCGATTGATTGCTGCTGTCACCTTGTCACAGGCATCAAGAACAAGCAAGAGCCACAGGAAGCTGATAGAAATGCTGCTCCCAAAGGCCAAGGAGAAAAATGCAACCAAGGAACTGGTTGTGAATGCAAGGGATGCATTGCTCTTGAAATACAAGAAGCCTTGAAAGGGGACCTGCAAAAGGGCTCTGCAATAAGGCCTTGAAAAAGGGCTTTGGGATGGCTTTACACTGGAAAGGAACAAAGGTGCAGTAGTGCAATGGGAGTGCATGCTCAACAAAGACAACACACTTGCTCAAGCATGTAGCTAGTACTTGTTTTGTTCTGCAAGCCTTTTGCTCAAGCATAGGTGAGAAAGGTTTTCAGGCCCCCTGCCAAGGGCCACTACAAGCCTTATAGGCCCTGTGCAAAGGGCTTCAACCTGTAGGACCTGAGAAAGGTCTTCTATGAAAAAAAGTAGATCGCCTTCTAAGTCAGAAACCCCTGACTGGGGTGATGGTTGGGATGATGATGCAGCCACAAAAAAGAGCTGGAGTGGCTGGGCAGATGAAGAAGAAGAAGAAGAAGAAGGGAGAGACAAAGAGAAGGCTGGGTGGCACCACTGGGGCTGGTGGCAAGAGAAACAAGAGAAGAGTGGGTGGCAAGACAAAGGGGAGAAGACCTGGGGCTGGAGAGAGAAATGGCCTAAGAGGTCAGGCTCAGCCAAAGAGAAGGCAAAGTACAACTTCTTGAAGAAGACTTGTGATGCCCCAGATGATGTGCTGAGGCTGGCTTCCATGGGGGAGTCAAGGTTCAGGAGGTTGGAGAGAAATGCCCTGGCAAGGAAGTCAAGGGAAGATGAAGAGAAAGCAAGGGCAGAAGAAGAGAAAAAAAGAACAGAACAAGAACAGCAAGCTGCTGCTGAATGGTGGTACTACTACCAGCAGCAGTACAACCACCAGCTCCTGCAACAACAGTACTACCAGCAGCAGCAAGCTTGGCTTGGCTGGCAAGCAGGACACTCTGTTTTGCTTTTGATTTTGTGACTCCAATGATTTCTGCCTCACAAGCAGCCCCACCTCGACCTCATTCAGCAAAGCCTCCCAAAGGACAGATTTTTACCCAAGAGATTTGTCCATCCATGGACTTGCTCACCAGGCTCTAAGCCCAAGGAGCCACAGCCAGAGGCAGCAGCTGGAACTAGAGGAAAAGGCCATACCTTTAAACTTTGTGGCTTGCAATGGCATGGCCAGACAGCAAGCAGACTCCAGCCAAAGGCCTGCAGTCTTGATGGAGGAAACTCAAAGCCTAGACTTTGCCAGGTGCAGTGGCCAAGGCAAGGGCACAGCCTCAAGATGCAGAGCCCAAAGGACTGGCTTAATGTTTCTGCATTTTCTTTTGGTTCCACCCCATGGCCTCTTGGCAGGAAGTGGGCTTGCATCCAGCTCAGGCCTGCCAAGTGTTTCTTTTTTCCATTGCCATTGCACTTGGGTGGTGCTGCCAGGCCACCAGACCCAGTGCAAGGAAGAACCAGATGCTTCTGGTGATGACTGGGAGGAGGTGAAGAGAAGGGAAAAAAGAAGAAAAAGGTGCCCTGAGAAAGGGCCCAGCTCCATGAGACCTCCCTTCACCTGTGGGACCTGCAAAAGGGCCCTGTGAGCAAGGCCGATGGATGGAAAAAATGCTGCCCTTGTTGAAGGTGGTTGTTGTTTGCTTTGTTCTGTTGAAGGTTGTGTGCATTGCTGAAGGTGGTTGTCTTTGCTCTGCAGCCTTTTTGGTTCAGCTTTTGGGCCCTGCCAAAGGGCTCCTGGGACATTCTGGGTCAGCTAATGGGCCCTGCCAAAGGGTTCTTGGGCAGTTTTTGGTCCACCTTGTGGGCCTTGCCAAAGGGCTCCTTGAGAAACAGTTGGCCCTGCACATGGGTTCATGGGCCTTGGAAAAGGGCTCTTGGAGAGGAAGAGGGCTGGAGGCAAAAAAAGTGTGTGTGTGTCCACTGTCTTGCATTTCTGGGCCATTGTGGCCTAAACTGTGGTGAAGTCATATGGAGTCACATGATGTCATATGACATAGAAAAATGTCATATGACACAAAAACATGTCATATGACACAAAAACATGTCATATGACACCACCCCACCATCATATGACATCATATGATGTCACATGACTTATGCTTTTTGGAGTGGTCTCAAAGGCTTCAATAATTTTTTGTGAGGTTGATGCCAGCAAGACTCAGATTGCAACCCTGCCACTTTGGCTCACAAGCCAAACTGCAGAAAGGCTTTTGCTGATTCTTTTTGAGTCTGGGACCTGACAAGGTTTCTGATTGGACCTGTGAAAGGGCCTGAGAAGGTTTCTGATTGGACCTGTGAAAGGGCCATGGTGAAAATCACAATCTTGAAAAAGCCGGCAGCTGCACCTTACAAGAGGCCTGCAGCCAACCCAGAGCCTGAGGAGCCCATGTCTTTGGAGGAAAAGATGGAGTTGTTCCAGAGGTCAAAGACTCAGGACCTCAACTCTTTCCTGGGCACACTTACCAGGAACCAGAGAGAAGCGCTCTGGAAGAAATTTGAAAGGGCCAGGGGCTCCACCAAGGACCCCAAAGTGGAGGAAGTTTGGAATACTGTCTGCAAAGGCAAAAACAGTGACCAACACAAGAAGCAGCTTTTGAAGGTGTTCCTTCAAACCAAAGGGGAGCTTAAGAATTCTCAAGCCTGGCAGAAGGAGGTCCTCTCCTTGCAGCAGACCTCAGGCAGCTGTTTTTCTTGCTTGAGGCTTTGAGACAACAGTTCATGGATTCCACCTGCATGTAGGCCACAGGTCATCCTTGGAATGGGCGCCCTTTGCCACCATATTGCACAGATATGGCTTGCAAGAGACACTTCGCAGAGCCACCTCCTCAGAATTTATATCTGTGCTTGCGATGAATGTTGGCAAGGAAATTTCACTTCAGGTCACATTTGATTTCAGGTCAAGAAGGGCACCATTCTTGTCCAAAAAGATCCTCTGGATGATGATGAATGGCAATTTGCCCTGGCCAAGAATGTGGACTACAGTGCTACAGAGCAGAGGCGTGAGGTGGCTGCAGAGCAGGTGGGCAAGATGGAGGTGTGCAATTGGGTGAAAGTCAAGGCCAAAGGCTTTCTTGGCAATGAGGAAGGGTCAGCTGACCAGGCCTTGAGAGATGTCATGCCCCAGAAGGCCAGCAAGCACATGAAAGCATTGCTGCCACCTCCACCATCTGACTCTGAGAGCTCAGAGCATGCAGCATCCTCTAGCAAGCGGCAGAAGAAAGATGCTGAAGCATCCAAAGGGAAAGACAAGCAAGTGATTGAGGCTGAGGTTTTGAGTGATATGGGCAGCAGTGCTGTGGCAGGTGAGCTCAAGAAAAGGGTGGAGAAGATGCTGAAGCTGCTTCAAGCAGTGAAGAAGGAGGTGGGCACAAGCAAAGTGAAGGATCACTTGCATGGCCCTGAGACTGACCTCAAGAAGCTCCTGAAGACAAAGATGAACGCAGAATCTGCCAAGGGCAAGCTGTTTGATGCTGCTATGGCAATCAAAACAGCCAAGAAGTTGTGAATAGAACATGTGCTCGTGGGCAATGGTGTTCATCCCCCACGCTTGTATGCCTGTTGCAATCGCCGTGACATCGCCCTTTTGCTTGTTATTGCTGTTGTCTGTCGTTTCATGTTGTGGGCTGTGTCCGTGACCGTTGGAAACGATCAGGAATGTTGTATTTCCTATCCATGGGTCGTCCTTACCTACGGAATTACCCTTGAAACGCCAGGAATCAACTTTTGTGTCCTTACCGCTCTTGTAGTACTTCTCAGTCCTACGATAATCAGACAAATCCGACAGCCGGACAGGACAGTGTGAGTCTTCACTAGGGACAAACTCTTGTGTTCTCGGCACATTATGCACTCGGGTGAGTGTGTCGCCATCGCGTCGCCATTCATCTCGGTAATTTTTATTTGTTTTTGGGTTTTTCCCCTTCCCAGAGTACGCCTTATTGAAAAGATTCAATAAGGTTATTGGTTTGGGTTGTCATTATTGAAATGTGATGTTTATTGAAATGTTTCAATAACTTTATTGGTTTGAAGGTCATACTTTTTATTGAATTGTACCAATAAGGCTTATTGAATGGACCAATAAGGCTTATTGAAATGTACCAATAAGAATTTGCAAGTTTCTGCTCCAATTTCAATAAGAATTTGCAGCAACTTTGCTGGAATTGGTGTGAGTAGTAGGTGCAAGTAGAAGTTCACTAGTGCACATGCTTGTAAGCGCTGCTGGCTCAAAGTGGAGTTTGGGCTTTGCAAAAGAGCTCCTTTGGTAAATTTGGGCTTTGCAAAAAGGCTCCTCTGGTGTACTTGGGCTCTGCAAAAGAGCCCCATGACCTCAACACCAGCTGTTCTCATGGACTATTTGGACATGTGCCCAGGCAGGGAGACACTTGGTCACCAAGCCCAGACACTGTTAGTGCATTAATTGCTTTTCAAAGTGCACATTCTACATCCATTTGCATTCATTTGCTGGTGCCCAAGGACATGGTTTTACAACAGCTATTTGGAGTGCCAGACATGGAGCTGTGATGGGTGGGTGTGGGCAGCCAGGCTGGATGGCACAAGTGCAATGTGGGGCCCCACATGCTACAGGTGTGGCAAGGCTTGGAGGGATTCCTTTCTTAACAAGGGATTTTCTTTGTGGGATCCACCCAGCCAAAGAGCTGATTGGAACCAATGGAAGAGGGGCTGAATCTGCCTCAGCTTGGGCCCTGCAAAAGGGCCCTTTGAAGTTGCCACAGTTGGAAAAAGGCAAGCTGAAATTGAAAAGCAGGTTGGTGTTGATTGGTTTGCCTGTTTACACAAAGCATTGGCTGTTTGCTGTAGGGCCAGTGTTAGGCTCAAGCTGTGACCTGCTACAAGGGCTGTTCAAGGTAGGCCTTGAAAAAGGGCTTGTGAAGTTGGCAGGAAGCTGGGACCTGGCAATGGTTTTGATGAAACCTGTGAGGAAAAGGAAAGGTGGTGGCAACTCAAAGCCATGCAAGAGAAACCCTTTCCCTTCTTTGGACCAGGAGGGCTTGACTGACAGGCTTGATGGCTACATCAGAAGGATTGGGATGAAGCAGTCCTTTGATTTGAAGCAGTACAGGCATTTACAAGCAAGGCAATCTGAGTGCCCTTCTGCCCTCTTCAAGCTGAACTTGTTGCTGGAGGCCTTGCTTGATGTTTCCCCCACTGCAGAGGTCAAGTACAAGTACTTGAAGAAGAGCATGGAGGACCTTTGTTCCACCTGGGGGGTAGAGCTTCTGGCTGCCCACTTTGATGGGCCCAGAGATGTGGTGGCAGGGGCAGTGTCAGATTGCTTAACAGTTCTGATGAACCATTGGAGGAGGGCTACATCAAGTGAAGCTGCCTGGCAGAGATTTTGCAATAAACTAGACAATGCACAAGCAGCTACAATGACAAGGCTGTACAAGAAGACTGAGCAAAAGCAGCCCACCAAGCCCACCAAAACCTTGAGACCTCATCTCTCTGAAGTCACCCTGGACTCTGAGGGGTTTCCTGCAATGTTGGCTCACAGCTTGCCATCTTCAGGGTCTTCAGGTGAAGAAGGTGATGTGGAATCAGAAATGGACAGCTGTGAAGCAGCAGTCCAGAAAGAAGACCCACCTCCAGTCTTGAAGTGTGACTGGAAGGTGGCTGCAGGCAAGCCACCCACCAAGAGGCCTGCAACCAGCAAGCTTTTCAAGAAGCCCAGCTCTTGCAAGGCAATGGGCCCTGGTGATGCTGGCATGCCTATCCACACATCATCAGTCACCATAGGGGGTGGCAAGCAGCAGAGTTACATCCAGCATGTTCCTGGGCCTGGACCATCCAAGCGATTGATTGCTGCTGTCACCTTGTCACAGGCATCAAGAACAAGCAAGAGCCACAGGAAGCTGATAGAAATGCTGCTCCCAAAGGCCAAGGAGAAAAATGCAACCAAGGAACTGGTTGTGAATGCAAGGGATGCATTGCTCTTGAAATACAAGAAGCCTTGAAAGGGGACCTGCAAAAGGGCTCTGCAATAAGGCCTTGAAAAAGGGCTTTGGGATGGCTTTACACTGG